CACACTCAATGGTCAACGAGTGCACAAGAAAGGCTGCAGTGCGGGAGGAATGGCGACGGATTGTGGGCCTTGCCAATGGACCTGGTGAGACGACCACGACCACTCTGGCAAGAGTGTAGCGACGAAGAAGAGGAAGAATTTTTGTGAAAAGGACAAACTATTTCCATAATATAGAGCTAAAGGTTCAAGTCGTCTTAAAATAGCACTTGTAAAAACTTACTGACTAATCGACATATTTTTCATTGAAGACTTCGTTTTCAAGTAAAATCTGAGGTTAATCTGTCCAATATAAAATATACAATACAACGTCACTTTGACACAAAGTACAAAATAATGTCTTCAAAGATAAACCTCGTAAAAGACAGGCGTGGGACAAATCTGTATAGATGCATTAACTGTTGTCAAGCGAAAATGGATTAGAAAGAGAAGCGAGTATGAGGTATGATAAATGGATGCCATTTAAAGAGTACTTACCTGGATAGACGTCCTAGGGTTTAACATTTACTTTGTTTCGTGACAGAGGTGGGACGTGCCCTGTAGTTTGTGATGTTTAAGAGTAGGCGCACACCGTTGATTTTTCGTCGGCCGATAGTTTAGTCGGGCAGTTGATCAGTATGGGCATGTATAGGAGTGCGCACACTACGCCGATTCGATTTGGCCGATTCTTCATACAATTTAAAATCGGGCACAACTATCGGCCAACTAAAAATCAACGGTGTGCGCCTACTCTAAAGGTTACGTATTCATTATTAAGGAGGAGTGTCGTGTCCTCCGTTGCTGGATGGATGGAGGGCATGCCATACGGGGATACAAATATTTTTCATTAGTATACTAATAAGCAGATATAGATTACTGCAAGATATTATTTGCAAGGCAATGCTATAGCACGATAAAAATGATAATAAAATTTTTGAAAGATGGACTATTTCCATGTTTAAAAAAATAGAGTGTTCCCTACTTATTGTTAACTCATCCACCCACAAGGTGGCCTGACGACCTCATAAAGGTATCAGGAAGGCGCTGGATGCAGGCTGCTACTAACCAGTCATCATGAAAATCATTGGGAGAGGCATAATTATGTTCAGCAGTGAACGTCCTATGGCTGAAATGATGATGAAAATTTTAACTTATGGCCAATTTCAGATTATCTACACTCGGCAGCAAATAAATCGCACCTCCCGCGACAAGCACTTATCAAACGTATGCATCCCCACTTCCCACTAACATTGGTACCATTTGAAAGCCTAGTTCTAAACTTCATTTCATTAAAGGAAAGATTTTTACCCCAAAAATGTGTCTTTACAAGGATCCAGAGTCACTTCTTCAAAAAATAGGTAGTTACGCTATAGCCATTTTTATGACTATAAAACTGTTAAGTTGGGATTAATCGCTATTCATCTGTTAAAGAGGACACGTGAGATCTTTATTTGGTTTTATAACCATAACAATTGGTCTAATTGATCCCAGAGGTGAGCCCAAAATGAGGTCTATTTTCAAGTCACATTTATGGTATATGGTAATCATTTATTTAGAAATAAAATGTATTTTTCTTTAAGGATATTTATTGGGCTTTCAAATAACACCAATATTGTTGGGGTACCATAATTGTGTCAGAAGAAAATCTTTAAAGTTCGCGTCGCGGAAGATGCGGTTTATTTGATGTTGAGTGTATTTGCGGCTTCTATTTCAATGCAGTCTGTGCTCTGTTATGAGAGAGATAGAGGTACAGATTACGTGACGTAATAAATGTAATGCACCGGCTTATAATTTGAAGATGAATGTTGTCAGATGTGTAACACAATGAGTCATTGAGGACAAAGAGGTAAACATTGTTTTACTTACTTCATATAAATCAAGGATTTACATCTGTTTATACATATTGTACCTACATTCAAGAGTTGTAGAAACGACGGTACATCGAGTTAACGCTTCATCAGTCATAGTATAATTAAAAAAAAACATTGTTTTTGGACGTTAAGACATGCGAATATGGTGGGAACTATACGAGTATTCCCACTGCCTTTTAAAGGATTAAACACTGTGCCATTTTCTGTAGTTTCTTTTTGATGGAAAGTGGTGATCGGGCCGAAGGTAGAAGCGCAGTTAGGAGTATAAATAAGTGCTAAGTATTTGCTAAGCTTTATTGATTGTATTAAATCAAATTGAAAATATACATTTTGTGTCTACCTACTGCGACTAATGAAATAGAGGCGGAAGGAGTCTCATTCCTTGGCATTCTTTTTTAAAAAGAGTATTAGTAATTTGTAGTAGCCCCCTTGACCCCTCGTAAACATGCTTGTCGTATTATGTGGATTTACCATATTAGTCTAGCGGCGGTGGGGTTCGAACCTGCATTCCTTGGATCTCGATTCGACCGTGTGTGTTCTCATCGACACTGACGCTATTGTCGCTCCTTCTCCTTAGGTACGGGTTTTTAATGTCATCCATAAACATAGTAAATCTTACAAACAGAACTAAAACAAACATGATCGTTGGTACACCACTGGCATTGACTATAAAATCACAGGACAAATATTTTCCATACAATTGACATTACAAAGATTAACATCTATGTGCAGGAGCGACGCAGCTTTGAGAGCGTACTTAAGCTTTGTACCTACCACATGTGTTGGATTTTTAAAAAGGTCAGAGTGTTGCAACCAACAACATTAAAAGCTCTTAGGGAAAGCACACACGGAGGGAAATCTCGTTGGAGGTCACTTAAGTGGTGTTCTGGCGTACTTGTTGTTGAAATTGTGGGATGAGCTTTTTCGTTAGTAAGGAAATGTAGGTATTTGTATGTTGTTTCTTTATGCTTATAGGCGGCGAAACATAATTATGCATAATAAAACAAGCTGATCAACCTCAGAATGTGAAATAAATATGCCCGTTTTCAACATCAATCCCTTATTTTTAAGTGACTCCTATGGAAACACATAACAGGAATTTAGTTTTCATATGGGTCACTTAAAAAAATAGGAATTGTTGGTGAAAACGGGCGTTAATCAAAACGATTCTGAAACGTCAACTGGCAAAAATTTAATGTTAAAGTAACCCATTGATAGTAGCGCCCTCTTGACAATGTCATATCTGGGACAGTAGTCCTCCTGTCAATGTCATATTTTAGTGTTGGATAACTTTAATATGGTGAATTTTCGTAAATACCTACCTTTCTTTTGACGTTCTAAAAATTGTCCAAAGTCATATAAATTCTCGTGTCTGCATCGTAAGTTATTACCGGATCCATCCATAAGGATATTATGTGTAAAATTATGTTATTGTTGATAATCAAATAATTAAGAAACGATCGTTAATGTACTAAGACAACAAGAAAAAATTGCATAAAACATTAATAACCTTGAAACTTGTTATCAGTAGGTATCTAAAAATATTTCTTAAAATACCTACTAATATAAAATATGGAAATACGAAAGTAACTTTATGTTTTATAATTATGTTCAGGACGCTCAACTTTTTATTTGTACATATATCCCTCCTAAGGGAGGAAATGTAGGTTGTAAGCATATAGCATAATTATCAACCTAAACCACTATCAATAAGATTGGTTGGAATTTTATGTAATCGTAATAGGAGTTATTTTACAATAAAATTTGTATAGACTGACGTGCTGTTGACAGTAGGTACATGTCAGATAAAGTCTGTCTGTGTCGACTATGCGAGTGAAGCGGCAGGCAGAAGCTAGTTCTTATTCTAGGTGACAGTATAGTTAATAGTCTTTTTTGTTATGCATCAATAAAAACTTGCATACTTATGCTCATTTATTATGTAAACACTTGTAAATCTAAAGAACGAAAATAGTACAAAACCACAATTGTAGCATTTTGGCATTTGAAAAACTATTTCTAGTTTTTCTAAAATAAAAATAGATCTAATCATAAAAAGCGAAAGCTCACTGACTGATTGACTGACTCACTCACTCATCACACAATCTCAGAAACTACAAGTGCTTAGTGTTAGGAGTCTTTAATGTACGTAGGTGCTCGATTTTTCAAAATTCAACCCCTAAAGAGTAAAACGGGATCCAAGCGTACAAAGTCGCGGGCGACCGCTAATAAGAACCACATTAAAATTGAATGATAACTAAATATAAAGAAGAGAAGAGAAAAACTCAGTTATTTCATGCGTTTTTTATTCAATCAATAGCATTTTTTTGTGTGAAATAACTGGCTTTTTTCTCACCATAGGATCATGGTAAAAGTTGGTCAAAATCATGGTGTAAACCTTCCTGAAAATTCGTCAACTGGTTTAAAAATTACCATGTACCTATACTGCTTATACTCGTATGCAAGACAATATTTTTAATCGTCATTATATTGACATTAGTATTGAAATAGAATCTGAGGTATCTTTTGGATATCCCTGCAAAGAATTTGTGAAGGTTACACTAAAAACAAAAACATTTTTGTTTTGACTTTCAAATTAGTATATTTCTGTTTCAAAATCGACCTTAATCCACGAGTAATAGACATTAGATATCAAGTCGAGCTTCAATAAAATTAACATCGCTATCCATTCCTTTTTGGTTATTTTTGAATCATTTTTAAAAATGTAATCGCCATAAGCTTTATGATTAAACATTTTATGATGTTGCAAACCCTCAGTGGGTCCAGAAAAAGAAAATTAAAAACATTCTCATTTTCTTTTAATCTTTGAAGGGTATTCAGTCGGCTAATCTTGGGGTTTTGTCAGCTATATTAGAATCTTGGCAATATTCAGGTACCTAATCAAGTATTTGAATGAATTTTTGGTAGTCAATAAACTCCATGTAGAGCTTATTGATTGTATAGTAAAGTATTTGGAATTTTTAATAAGATGGGGTATTTAATTCTGAAGAATAAATAAAGTCTTATTTTTCCTGTAAGGCGTACTTACGAAGGGTTAGGTACAAACCAACACATTCTAAGATGTTACATATCTGCGATTTCGCATTCAATGACAGTTCCGTATGACACGTTCATACTAAACCTTGGAGTAACATTATTAGATCAACAAACGTCAGTGGTCAGTTGATCTGTGTTCTGGTGTGGACGCGAATTAGGTAATTATTTTTCATAACATTTCACACGTTTTAGTCTAATTGTATAAATTTATTAATTATTGTATTGATCGGAATAGAGCTTTTGTGGTAAATAAATATTGAAGGGAAAGTTATAAAATAATCAGTTAATCGTGAACTTTATTTTATTTTGAGTTGATCAATTTTATCAAATTTTAGATTAAAGAAATAGGTAGTTAATTAGTGCTATGTATCACTTGTTAAAAGCCTAACGATAGACATAGTTTGAAACAAATCCTATATTTAAATCTTTTACAAATATAATTATTTTGCAATTCAAACTAAAATTAACTTTAACAATATTGACGCAGTTACTAAAGTCTAATTTAATTAATTAATAATAATATTTGAACTCTTACGACTTTTCTTGTGACTTAAGGAATATTTTCTTAAGACATTAAAAAAATAGAACTCAGGGCAAAAGTTCCCTGACTTATAATATAAAAGCCTAATTAAAATAAAGTTTTTATACAATAACTGTTCATCAAGTAGTGATGATTGAGTTGATGATGATATTTAAATAAGTTGATTATTGTGCACTCGACAATATTGTTAGTCTTTTCAAAACTTTTTTCGTGAACTTAACAAACTAAATAAGTTAAACCAAATACGTATCATGTTCTGTAGATAGTTTTTCCATAAAATAAATTATTTTAAAGTACCTAATTCGACTTTAATGAGGCTACGAAGTTAAATATTTCAGTTAGTTCTCAATAACTCAATAAAAATGCAGTAACAAAATTCTTTAAAGTTGTTATGTTATGTAATGTTAAGTTTAACAACTACGTAATATTCCTACAAATTAATATTCAAATAATAGCTCGTTTTATTAGCACTTGTAAAAAATCAACAATATCAAACATCAACTGACGTCACACGAGATTATTGAATAAATCAATATACAACAAGTTTCTAGTTGACAATAACTACGATGTCATATCAAGTTTACTGTAGCACCTTATGTGCTTTGATTAGGAGTTATTTTGCAACAAATATGTAAAGCCTGATGTGCTATTGACGATACTTGAGGACACCAAGGTAAAGTTTACACTAATACAATGTTTGAACTCATCTTCATAACCTTGATTCAATATTGGACTAACTTGAGAGTTAAAATTTAACCCTTCGGGTATCTTAAGGACAAAGGCATATATAAAAAAACTATTGTGACATCTTATTTAGTTACAATACGTGCTATTTTGCTATTAAAATGTGAAGTTTGATGTGCTGTAAGTACTAAAGGCTCTTGATGTCTTTTAAATGCTTTACCAGTTTCCGTGATGGTCTGGTTTTTAATCTGTCTCAGAGATCAAAACACGGTTCGATACAAAATTACCTAGGTACTGCGAAACACTTTATTTCATACTAAATAATTATAGTTTTTGCATTTACTACGAGTAATATCACCCTCTATTTCATACTCATGAAGATTTTTGCTCAGACGAAAAGACATAGTCCAAAGTCAAAGTTTCTCATTCATATAAAACAAGCATAAATCTATTTACGTAAGCTAAATTAACTAATGGACTATTCCCACCTCTCGTTCCCACCACTGCAACTCCTGTGTAGCCAGGATCTACACTACAGCTTGACCGCCAATAAAAACCCAACCAGTGAAAGTCAAATTGTTTTAATATTTATTTAGTTTACCTCGAGGGGTTAACGGGGTTAATTTATTTAAAACTAGCTTTCCGCCCGCGGCTTCGCCAGCGTGGAATTTTGTCTGTCACAGAAAAACTTATTTGCTCACTGTTTAGACCTACCCTGGACTACGACAAACATTTTAAAACCAAAATCAACTCAATCGGCTCAGCCGTTCTCGAGTTTTAATCAGACTAACGAACATCAATTCATTTTTATTTATATAGAAGATTTGCTAATATTCTTTTTAAAAAATACGAAAAATCATTAGGTCAGTTGTTAGTTCAGACAGAGCTACTTGTTTACGTTTTTGTATATTTTACCGCATAAGATATACAGTGTTTATATCCTGTTCTATGTAGGTACAGTCAGCGTCAAATAGTTCGTGACACCGAAAGTAGCCAAAAAATTGGCTACACAACCTTATTCCAATTGTAACAAAGACGTGTTGCGAACTTTTTGGCTACTTTGGGTGTCACTAACTATTTGATGCTAACTGTACATAGAGATGATGTTTACTAATAAATAACGACAAGTTTGTTACCACAATGTGTCAAGGACACTTTGTTGAATATTATTTGCTAATTTAAATTATTATTGTTGTTTATTATAACTAGTTTTGTTATTAACCTAGAGCTATAAAATCATTAGATTTTAGGCCAAGGTTGTCATAAAAATCTGCATGAAGGTTATGCAAAAAGATCAATTAATATTTATCGTATTTCTATGATATAGGTATAAACTAGCATTTTAAAACTACTACTTATTTGTTTTTAATTGATATCTGATGCTAATTACGAAATAATATGAAAGAACGCATATTAGCCGAATCCACAAAGGTACATAGAAGCAAACCAAAATATGTCACGTGTCACCCTGTGCGTCCACGCGCACTGTGAGACCTCATAGTTATGATTGTGAATACGGACGTTAGACTTCAAAGTACCTAGGTAACGTTATAGCGAAAAATTCTAAATAAGTAGCTAAATCACGTTCACGCTTACGTCATTAACGGCAAGTTTCAAAAAAACAGTTTACACAGATGCGGATACGTGTTAAAAAGCATACATTATCACAATATACCGGGTGGAATTTTGTAATGCCACCTGGAAGGAAAATACTCTTAATACTGTAGATAGAAAATTTTAGAAGGAAAAAATATGAATCCTAACGTTCATTTATTTAATCACATTGAAAAATTTTAATAAAAATCTAAGATTAATTCATTATTATAGGTATTTTGATTCAAATATCTACGTAGAGATAAACACAAGAACCTACTAAACGGATTTTCATACCTACAGCGTATTACATTATTTTGCTTATATTTACATATTAAGCTTACCAATCATTCAAAAACGAATTATGTAAACAGACTGTTTTGAGGAAAAAATATTATGTAAACATAGCACGTTTACACCTGTATGATAATAGCACTGGATATTTAGGTAATGTTTTATTAACGAATGAAGGTACATTCCGTACATTACTAAAGATTACAATTAGTTACATATTACTCGTACTTTAATATTGTTACTTGATTATACGCTACTAAGATAACTAAATAGTCAAGTCAGGAAGGAAATGAGTAATTTATATGCCCTAGAAAATGTAGGAAACAAATTAATTGCAGCTTATACATACTTAAGTAAATAACTAGAATAATGCAGACACAACATCATATTCAAATGTACAATTATAAACAGAAACAAAACCTGTTAGTGAATTTCTAAAAAGACATTGGGCTAGATGTTGAGCTTTAAAAAACATATCGATAAAGGTTTGCCACTCAGTGGACCGACGTTCCGGTAGAGGTCGTGGGAGGCGCCTGGATCACCATGATCGTCATTTTCAGCCATAGGGCGTCCACTGCTGAACATAGGCCTCCCCCAATGATTTCCACAATGGCCGGTTGATGGCGGCCTGCATCCAGGGCCTTCCCGCACCTCTATGAGGTCGTCGGTGCTCCTGGATGCGGATATCTAAAAAGCCATACCAACTTTGTAAAATTATGATGCAATAAATAATTAAGTATTGATAACACAGGACCAGTCGTTGTTGAAAGCCTTATTGTCCAGAGGTTTATGTCTATTGGTTGAAACAAACAAACAATAAAAATACGTTTGGTTATATTGCAAGTTGCAAGGTACTTCTTTACTAAGTAAATTACGTTAACACAGTATGCTCTTACTACTGACGCAGACCACCGACTTCAAGTTGGCCGATAGTTGGGTCCATTTTAATTTGTATGCAGAATCGACCGATACCAAATCGGTGTAATGTGCGCACTCTCATACATCTCCATACCTACTGATTAACAGCCCGAATCAACTATCGGCCAACTAAGCGCTGCTGCACACGACGCCGCCGCCGCGCCGCCCCCGCGCCTTTGCACTGTTTAGAGTAGGCGCACACCGTTGATTTTTAGTTGGCCGATAGTTGGGCCCGATTTTAATTTGTATGAAGAATCGACCAACACCAAATCGGTGTAATGTGCGCACTCTCATACATCTCCATACTGATGTGTAGCCAGGATCTACAGCTTGACCGCCAATAAAAACCCAACCAATGAAGGTCAAGTTCAACCCGGGGGAAAGCTAAACCACATAAACAGTAACTGTCATTGGATCCGCTATGAAATTAATCAGAAGAACTTAGGAGGAGTTCGAAGTTCGAAGTCATGCCAGACTATATTTCTTAGAATCGTTATCATAAAATCTATTACAATAAAAGTATTCTTTGAGTCTAACCACAATTAAAATAGTCTCTTTAAGGATCAAAAAGGTCTAAAAACAATGCTAATTAATATAATTACCCGTAGTTTTAAAGAAGGTCGCTAAGAAAATGACTACAAGACAATGTAAGTCTTGTAAGTTATATTTCCTAGGTAGCCATTTTTAACAAGTGCCTATTCTGTTAAGGTAAACCACTGCAATTTCCGCAGAATTGTTGACTTAGTGTTAATACGACTTGTTAATAAGTAATGTAGTGCAAAGTGCAGGAGACGGACGATTTAACTATCTCACTTATACCTAAAATGTTATAGGGTGCTGGCGATTTGTCATAAAGTCGTTAAAGTTCGTGTTATTTATTTACAAATAGACACTTCTACTGTCTTTCAAAACTAATTACAAAATACTAAATAGGTTCAAAACATAAACAAAGTTAAAGACAAATAAGAGAGATAGCCGTGACACTTCGAAATCCTTAGCCTGTTCTGAAAGTGACACTTGACATTTCTTTTTCCAGATAAACAAGCATGGAGGTGATATCAAAACATCCTCTAATAAAGGTGACTGCAGAAGACGTGAGGTCCACAAGAGGGTTCTACGACTTGAACGATGTGAAGAGGATCAACGAGAGCCTCGATGTGATTGAGGAGTGGCTGAAGAAGCAGGACCATCTGGTTGAGGCCAGCAAATTCCTCAGTAAGTAACCTCAAGACCTAATTCTTTGGTAAAGTAACTTGGAAGACCTTGAAGATGGCTGGAGGAAAAACAACTGCAGTAAAAAGTAGAATAGTGATTGATATTATCGGTGTCGATTTTGATAAAGTTTCCTTGATTTCAATCCAGGATCATGTAAATCATGACAATAAAAAATAAGTTTGTCTGAGAATAACGAAGAAGTCTAATATAGGTGACAGAGTTCTGATTCTGAGGTAACTAAGACACATGTAAAAAAAACCGAAGTGACATAGACTTCCTATCATAAGTATGAAGCGGTAGTTTGAATTTTGAGGCGTTCTCTAAGCTGGATTGCACCATCTTACTTTAACTTTAACAAACGTCAAAAGTCTGTCAAACTAAATAACAATCATCGGTTATTGTTATACTAGTTGCGTTGCGTTCAAAGCAAGATGGTGCAACAGTCTCATGCCTGTTTTCACCATTAATCCCTAATTTTTAAGTGACCCCTATGAAAACATTTTTTTTTGTTATGACGTCTCTATGCTGCATCTAGCAGATGACTGTCTGTATCCGAAATATGTTTGTGATATTTTTCGTCCTCTGTCGTACGATTGTATATTAAAATCGAACATAACCTACGTTCAAGGAGAGTCCCAACACTATAATCACAAGTGATTCACTAGTAGAACAAAGGCGTAAAACAAATCTTTGACCGCATTTTGAGGTCGCCACTTGATCTCGCTTTGCATCTACGTCAAGTAACGTAACCTGCTCGACAAGGCTTGTTATGCCATCTATATGCACGTCATCATAGACTTATGGTCAGGTACAGTCAGCATCAAATAGCTCGTGAAACTCAAGCAAAATATCTAAAAGATCGCAATACGTCTTTGTTACAATTGAAATAAGGTTGTGATGTCAACTTTTTGGCCACTTTGGGTGTCACGAATTATTTGACGCTGACTGTAATTCGTATTAATTTAGGTATGGGCGCCGACGTAGAGCAATTGTTTTTTGAACATGCTTCATGACTAAATTACTATTGCATCATGACAAAGTAAAACGGTATGAACCTTGTGAACTCTTTTTCAAAATAATAGAAATAATATTCGATAATTTATGCCAAGTCTTCCAGAAGTCTCTAAAACACAATTTACGCAACTTTTAAAGTTTTTATTTAGCTTGCCTTGTTGTTTGGGTAAAAATATTAAAAAAAAATGTTACCTTTAAGGAATCGTAGTGATTAAAACCAATGGTAGTTACACTTTAATGTAGGTACATAACACAAAACTGACAATATTATAAGAAATAAAAAAATTAAGGAACGATTTAGGCTTTCATAGGGCTGTTCCCACCGTGGCATCCTGTTTTTCGCACGAACTATTGATCCAGTTATACAGGATCCCCTTAAGCTGGGTTGCTATGGAAACAAGCTCATTGTCGTTGAGAATGATTTCCACAACACTTATGGCCGTATTCACAAACATTACTATGAGGTCTCACAGTGCGCGTGGACGCACAAGGTGACACACGAACCAATCATAGAGCTCTATTCAACGCAGTGCGTTCGATTTTCCGCTTCAATTAAGCAAGCATCGTATGTGAAGGCGTTAACCTTTTTACATAAAAGTTCCATAGACGGCTGGTACAAAAACCACGAAGTATTTTCATGAATTCCCATCACATTTAAAACAGCCTTGTCAAATAATTCACATGTCGGCTGTAGTCCAAAGGATTCTCTTGAACGCTGAAGGTTGCCAGTTGCCACTCGTCGTTCAAGTCACGTACTTACAAAAATGTTCCCACTTTATGTTTGTACAGTTTTTGTTTGCTCGAATACTTCAAAGAGTGGCGTAACTTGACCTGTCCTTTCCTTAGTCAAAGTATTTTCTTATATCATTTGAATTTTAAACCAGAATGCAATGAATTGCATTCGTTTAGGTTTGATTTAGGTCACTTCAGTACCCAATGGCTTAAAATATTTCAAACTATGGATAAGTATTGGATAATGTAGATGAATTTACATAAGTAACATGATCGATCATAACTGAAGATAGTATCATAAATGTTGTCTCTTGCTGGAATTGAATTCAAAACCCAAGTCCATAAGGTTAAACCTAAGCAAACCGTTTGTAGGACACAATATTGAACTGATAACATGCTAACATGAAGGGAAGTGTACACAACTGCACATGAAGCGTAACGTGTTGACCATCAAAATAGGAGCAGGTTTTGCAGTGCAACTGTCATGCTTGAATTTCCGTCGGTTGTATTTTATAATAATTTTCCCGATACGAAAGCTATATGATTCTAACAGAACATGGCCTCCCCCAATGATTCCCACACCGCCCGGTTGTTAGCGGCACCTTTATGAGGTCGTCGGCCGTCGGACCTTGTGGGTGGACGTCCCACGCTGCATTATCCGGTACGTGGTCTCCACTCCAGAGCTCCATTTTCCGTCAATTCTGCGTACTATTTTCCCTGTCTTTCAGCTAATCCGTCGGACTAAATTAACCAAATGATCATATTTTTATTTTTTTTATAAAGTTTATTAGCAATTTGTATTGCCCAAATTACTAATAGTCCCATTAGCCCCTCGTGTTAAGCTAAATAAGCTTGTGTTACGAGTGGGCTCACCACAATAGTCGAACGGCGGTGGGATTCGAATCCGCGTTCCTCGGATCTCGAGTCGGCCACTCCGACCCCTTCACCTTCGGCTATCGTGGCTATAAAATTATTATTATAAAATAATTATTAAAATGATCGTATTTTCTTTCACAGATCGAAGTTTCTTGGAGCGGGTGTTCATCTTAGCTAGAGGCTCCATAGAAGGAACGAAAACGAAACTGGACAAGCTCTTCACTTCCAGAGGTTTGATGCCAGAAATGTGTTTGAATAAGACCGTGAAAGAATTCGAGAAATTGTGGAATTGTGTGTAAGTATAACAAGCCATTTTATATTTTTTACTATCTTTTGCCCGCGGCTTCACCCGCGTGAAATTTATTTTGTCAATATTGTCATAAATTATAGCCTAGGTAGGTATATGTTATTCTGGGTTATAAACAATAATACTGTAAAGTTTCAACAAAATCCGTTCTGTAGTTTTTGCGTGAAAGAGTAACAAACATCCAGTCATCCAAACTTTCGCATTTATAATATTAGTAAGATTTAGTAACTATTTATTAAGTAAGTATTGTGTAAGTACTGAGTAATTTTATGTCTCGCTTAGCAACTAAACCACCATTAGTCAGCTACATTGAGCACTCTCTTTTAATATTAATAACAACTTTTTAGCAAATTCCAAAGAGTATTGTGAAGAACCGTTCCCTAATATTTTTTTAAGAAATTTATTATTTTGCATCTTGGATTGGATCTTTTTTTATCTACAACGAGAAAGCTCTTGAATGACGATTGGCTGATAAAGTTCTAAGCTTCTAAGAAAAATGGTAGAGTCTGCTCTGTACTTATTCCAAAGCAAAATATCAATCGTATTTACTAAAAGACTTATTCATCATCATCATCATCATCTCAGCCATTGGACGTCCACTGCTGAACATAGGCCTCCCTTGCAATGCAAACTCCCCAAAAGACTTATTACTTACTACTATTAGAACCTACTTGATCAAGTAAGAACTAGGAATATGTATCGCTTGGTTACACTATGGCATCTTAAGTAGATGCAGTAAGAGCTGTTTTGCATTGTAATGTAATGTACTATGTATATCGTCTAATGTGCTGCCTACTGTACATCGGTAACCTATAATTTGTGACGTCAGGTTGATTTAACTAGAACTACTTTAGACCTAGATCGGACACCAAGATAACCTAACCGGTTTGAGTCATTAGAATAATGACTAACTGACGCCATATTGTGGAGCGTAAATATGTCAAAACTATTGTTCTTGTTATTTTAAACGACTTGCAACATTGTCATGATACTGGATTCTTCTGAGGGTTCCGATTGTCATAATACCTACTAAATTCCTCTTTTGGGTTCCGTGCAAGTTTTGGAAATAATCGAACCCTTATAAATTCAGTATTATAACCCTTATACCTTACAGTTTATTGTATCTGTTAGAACGTTCATCACGGGCAATTTAAATAATAAATAATAAAAGAAAAAAAAAGTAAATTATTTCGTCGGTCAATGAGCTCAAAGCTTTAACATTTTTTAAACAAATGTTCAGTTGTGGTGTATCAATAGGCAAACTAGTTAATTGACATAACTGTTTATGAATTATCAAAACGCGATTCTCCCGTAGATTTGTTAGGACAAAAAGGATTAGATATGACGTCACCCGTTTGCGAACTCAATACGAAATCTTTGTCCTGCGTGCAACTAGCAGCGTAATTTTACACGCAGGCGTCCCGAACTCCGCATTACAGGAAAAAGGCACTTAAAGCACAGCTTAGATTATTAATAAGTTACTAACGCCCGTATTCATAAACGATGCTTGCATAAGAGAAGCCGAAAAGACGAATGCACAGCGTTTAATAGAGCTCTGTGATTGGTTCGTGTGTCACCCAGTGCGCACAGTGAGACCTCATAGTAAGGTTTGTAAATATGGGCGTAAGTAACAAATTCTTTGGACTGACATGTACTTATGCCTTCCTTTGTTGGAGTCTTCTTAGATTTATTTCAATATGTAGCAATTTGTTTCAGAAACTATGTGCCCCTCCCAAAACTGTGCCCTTCGGATCAGAGCCGGGTCATGGTGACGCAGTTCCTCACCGACAAGCTCGATGACTTCTCTTTACTTTCTTACTTCAGATTTAGTTTTATGGTAAGTTTTTAAGGGTCCGCGGGTTAAACCCCCATGTGTATTGCTACCGTGGTGGATGCACGTGACTATCGATGAAATCAGCTATTATAACGTAATTGAAAATCCTTGGTGGATGCCCTCGATTTCCACCCGACTGAACTATCATCATCAGAATCATCATCGTGAAGGTGATCGTGATCCGAGGAACGCGGGTTCGAATCCCGCCGTTGTTGAGATCCACTCGTAACACAAGCTTTAGTTTCCCACGAGGGGGTAACGGGACTAATAGTTTTTGCAGGATTAAACACTCCTATGTTCTTCTGATTAATTTCGTTGGACCCCAATGACAGTTCAACTTTCCCCCGGGACAACTTGACCTTCACTGGTTGGGTTTTTATTGGTGGTCAAGCTATAGATCCTGGCTACACAGGAGTTGCAGTGGTGGGAAAGAGAGGTGGGAATAGTCCCGTTAGTATGTAACACATAATGTGTGTTTGAAATTCGAACGGATCGTTTTTTGGCAGGACACTGCAAACGGGATGTTCGTGTGAACGAATAAAACATGTCATATAAACGGGATGTCACCGAAACAAGCCCTTACTCCGAGAGCAAGGCAGTGTTTGTCTTACCGGACATACATTTGTAAACGTCACTCTATACTGTTATTTTTTATCGTTTTCCAGATTGGAGAATACAGGCTTCACTACGACTACAGTTTGTCTGAGAGGTACATCATAGATCTGACGAATTTGAACCAAATGACGGTACTTACCAAGATCAATCCCATAGTTGTAAGGAAAGCGGAAATATTGTGCTCTGTAAGTATTTAGATATCTATATCGTTGACTTATACAGGGTGAGTAATATTTTTTTTGCAAATAGCAACGCTTGATCTCTCGAATACGGTTCAATAAAAAATACACAAAAAGTACGATGTTGTTTCATGAAGTGCTCCATAGTGCTTATAATTCAGTAAATTATGCACAGTTTCCCATTATTCACGTGTCCTCATCTCAAACTGTTTTCGAGAAATCAAGCGTTGCTATATACATTTTTGCCACCCTGTATAGGTTATGATTGGTATGTGTATTAGTAGATATCAACTACCACGTACTAGGCAACCAAGCTGTGGCACCCAATCCAGTATTATGAACACTGCGTAGTGCGTGGGCTATCATACACGGGCATAATAATTGTTCGTCTGGCTGCCTAGTGAGTGGGGTCAATGCAATACAATTGCATACAGAATTTGTCCAGGTCTTAACCTAACAAAACTTCTTTTCACAGGAAGGCTACGGAACCAAAATAAAAGGCATCCATCTCCTAAACGCTCCATCTTACGTGGATAAGCTAGTATCGCTGCTGAAGCAAGCACTGAAACCCAAGGTAGCTGGAAGGCTGCATGTCCACAACACATACGAAGACCTCCACAAGCATATTCCTAAAGAAATACTGCCTAAGGAGTATGGTGGTGATGAGACTTCTTGTGAAAAATTAAGTGGTAAGTTTCCATCGTTCGTTTTTTTCAGCCAAATGAAGTCCACTGCTGGAAAAAGACCCCAAGGATTTCCACAAAGACCGGTCCTGTGTTGTCCGCATCCAGGTCTTCCTGCGACTTTCCATACACTTATAAAAAGCTTGTGAAAGTCATCATCAGATTATTGCATTCGTCTCTGAGCCGAAAAACCGAATAACTATTAGATAAAGAAAAAAATTTTTTTTTTTTTTTTTTTCAATAAATGGCTTGCAATTCCGCCGTGTTTTACAATTTTTTGCATCATCTAAAAACTGAAAACAATGAAATGCGTCATTAAAATAATAATTATGTAGTGCATAGTACCTACACAACCACAATAAAACCTAAACTAAGCTCTCTGCATTCATGTACCTAGAATAATCAATTACCTATGTAGCGTCATAGCGTCTTATTGTTCTCAGATTTGGTGTTATCGAACAAAAAAGTTTATAATCATCATTACTATCTTTTTCAGAACAATGGAAAGAAGTCCTAAGGTCAGAAGAAGCTACGAGAATAATCTCCCAATCAGACAAGCTGGTGTCAGACGAGTCAAAAAGGCAGTCGGCTGCTTTCAACGAAGAGTACCTAGGGATGCCGGGTTCATTTAGAAAACTAAATGTAGATTAAATGTAAAAATAAATGACAATACGATCGAGGTAACTGCGTGCCTCGCTGGAATGCGACTCTCCCGCACAGCTCCCCGCGTTCGTCCTGTCCCGTATCAGATCGTCGATGTGACGTCACGGGTGCCTGGTGCGATGTGAGCAGTTAACTCGACCGGATTGTATTGAGTCATGACATTAATTTGTGGTGGTAGGAAAATTGTAAATAAATATTTTAGTTGTAGGGCAAAGAATAAAGCTCAAAAATAAAGAAGAATTTAACTGAGATTAGGATTTATTTGTTACAAAAGCATATTCTGTAAGTTTTTTTATTTAAATACAAACTAAGCTTGAACCCTGCCTTTTTGTTAAATTTTATTCCTATTTATCATGATCCCTCTAGTCGATGTTATTTTTTTCGACAACAGCATACTAAGAAGGTTAATTAAATCTTAATCATGGATTATAATCTCATTACAGACCCATAAAATAAAAGCAGAAGAAATAATAATATTTACTCGTAATAAAATTCGTTTCCCAAATCTTTAATATCATTAAAATAATATATTTTGGCGTACGATCATGTTACTCGGAGCGCCTAGAAGATTTTATCCTTCAAAATTACAGAAACACAACTCGCGTAGGTAGTTTACATTACTTTAAATAAACAGAAAAAAATTAACGATACATAATAGATAATCATGACAATATTTCGTAACTCGTAATATTTACCTGGTTGGACAATTTGGACATTAAGTCCCTATTTTGATAAAGGGTCTGTCTACTCTCTATACTACACTACGACTACGAGCCTATATTACACTGCATACAGTGCCAGATCATAGTTGGATCTCAGTTAATAGAAACTCAAGCGATATTATCAAAGATAATAAATAATATAAAGTTAGCCTATAAGAAAAACTAATAGCAAAATAATGTCTCTTCTTGAAAAATCAACACAAATTGACTCTCGACTAAAGAGTCATGGGGTTGAGGTTCACTCCATCCACGAGTACATGGCCACGACCCGAACGAATACAAGACACGTATTTTTATATGTTTTCATCTGTCTGCAAAAATATGGGGCAAAAGCCGCTTTTTTACCCGACTGCGCCAGAAGGAGGGTTATGTTTTGCGAGTGTATGTATGTATGTATATTTCTTTGGCACGGCCTATAGCCTAAACGGCTTGACCGATTTTAGCATGAGAGATGTCGTTAGATTCGTCTTAATCGTGAGAGTGACAGCGGCTATATTAAAATTGAAAAAAATCTAAATGACGGATTTTGGGGGCCATAATGTCTTCAAAAAAAAATTCTTTTCTCGAAACCTATCGAGTGGGGTATCAACATTTAGGGCTTTTTAAGTAGCTTACAAAAATGTATGTTTTTATCTTTTTAATTCATTTTTACACAGTTGGGTTTTTTGTTTATTTTAAATACATCTCAAGTACCTACAGCCATTTTTAACATAATATAGAGTTACGCCTAAATATAAAAATAAAAACGGTAAACTTGAATTTCGGTCCAAGATTGATTTAAGATTTCATGCTGTTTTAGAACCGTTAAAAACCTATAGATCTAACGGTTAACTCAGTCAGTTCAATACTAGCTATGACGTCACTTTTTTCGTCTACTTTACTTTTGTCTATTGAATGGTGGACTTAACTAGCCTATTGAAAATATTTAGTTGCTTTGTAGGGCAGTACAAAATGTAGAAGAAAAGGTAGATCATTGTGGACCCTGTTGAGCGCTGGAGATAAAATCAAACTCATAAAAATAAAATACATATCTATGTAGGTATCTGAAATGTTACAAAGTATCTAATAGCTTAAAGCTGAGTTGCACCACCTAACTCTGACGGTAACTGACGATAACCGGTAATTTTTGTATGGAGTTTGACAGATTTCTGACGTTTCTCAAAGTTAATGTAAGATGGTGCAACCTAGCTAAAAGTATCACTAATCGTTTCATCACAATCATGCACTATTACATTGGACAATGAAGTTTAAACTTTCAAAGATAATGCAAGGTAGATGATTCATTTTGCAGAAGCCATTTTCTGTTTCTACCTAATGAGTGCTTGTAATTAGTGAATGATAGGATATTTTTCTCTTGAACTTTTTTTTACAAGTTCAAGAAGTTGACTTACGTCAAGAAGGATAAAAATTAAGAAACCTTTTTTTCACATTAACGAAGATTTTGTATGCTATTCTGGAAAAAAAGGAACTTTGATAATTTTTATTATTAATTTATTACTACATTATTCACCTAGACGATGTTCAAAATATGAGTTAATTGATAACCATTTCAATTAGACGCTTCGTTATTTTAAATTTTTCTGATATTCTATTAAACTTTCGTCAAATATTTTCTTATTTTGATTTATTTTGATAAAAAAACGAACCGTTACGTAAACTACGCCCATTGATTGTACCAACCAGTATGCAAAAATTATATTCGAGGTACCTACCTCATATTGCATTTGCATATTTAGGTATTAAAGAATCTATAAAAAGATTAACCACTTACTGCATTTATGATTGTTTTGAATATTCTGAATCCTGACATCGCGATCTATAAGAATCAAAGACCCGTTTTTTTCTATCTATCTTAGAACGGAAGATACATGTTATCATAAACGCAGTAAAGAGCAGATTGTAGGTTTCTTCACATACTATGTTAGCAGTAAGAGCACATAATAACTTAATATTACGTGAATACTCGCGCTTACTTAATTTGCTACACAGTAATAGTGCAGTATGTGCCAATTACATCATTCTTATTATGTTTCTACAATTGTTAAGTTCACCTTGCACATAGTATATGTGCAGTAATTCCACTTAAACACACACTGATATTATGTTTTCATAGGAAAAACAGATGACTTGTACTTAATATTAATGCAGTAATTACAATTATACTGCGTACATACTAAGGATTGTCAGAGTGCTGCCTAGGTGTTAACATGTTATGAACGCAGTGGCTGACTCTTACGTTATTGGAAGAAGTTGAAAACCTGTCCAAATGACAAATCTAGCCGAAGACCCAAGAGCTANAAACTTAGTTAATCCATAACATAAACAGTTTTTTAACAATTTTAAATACAAAATATTAATTAAAATACAAAAACCTCATATCAAAATAAACTTTGAGTTTAGCTCTATAAGCCCATATATTTTTTTTTACAAATATTTGCGTAACTAATTGTAGACACCCCAAAATAAAATTTCAACTTTGATCGCGTTTTTCTCGAAACTGTTCACGTGTTACTTACTGCGTTTATAAATTGTGCGGCAGCTCTGTGCTCATACTCTTTGACATAAAGTAACAGTTAATTATATACATTTTCCGGGAGTGTTAACATTATTTCTGTCGGTTGAAAGGTTGTCACTTGTGTTTTGTTCCTACTTACTAGAAGGTAAGTTGTTGCATTGAAATTTTAATATTTTTTTCGTTAATTAATTCAAAATAAAGATCAAATTTATGAAATAAGTGAAAATATTTTAAAAGGTGATTAAGTGAATAAAGCAATAATGAAGGTTTTAACTGAAAATCATTCCTTTAAAATAAATTAAAATAGGAAATAAATAATATTAAATCTCCTGAAAATTTCGTAACCTACTTACATAAAACAAAAATAAATGACAATGAAAAGAGTGTACTAACTTTTTTTTGTTTTATTTTTATTTTTTACATAATATCTTTGGAAAATATCAGACAGCGCCTTTAGCCCCAAAGTAAGCAAGTTAAGACCCCTCACTGAAATTAAAATTCGTCATTTTCAATTTCTGCTTAAGAAGCAGTGACTTACAGGATTAGTAACCAGTTTTTCGATAATAATCTTGTATAGTTTAGAAACAATTGAGTGAGATCACTTATCGTTTCCACCCTGTATAATAGGTAAAAGATCGTCTGAATTCTTTGTATTTTGAAAATGAAGAATTTCGTTATCAAAGAAAACGAAAACAGAGTGTAGTAATAGAAGTCTTTCGGACTCTATTATCAGTGTCTTAAAGAACTACTTGTTACTTTTGACTCTCATAGAAACTTTTTATGATAATAACAGATCAAACTGTGTAATTATAAAAATAACTAGCTGTGCCCGCGACTTCATACATGTGACAATAGTTTGAATAATCTTTCCCATTTTTGCAACATTTTTCTTTACTGCTCCGCCCTTTATTGGCTGTAGGGTGATGTTAATAATAGTTCAGTCAAATTAGACATCAACCCTGCAATAATTCGCATACAGCTGAAAATTGGTACGAATGTTCGGAGTACCATAACTTTATCGGTAAATGGGTTATTCAACACAAATATTTTTTCACAACGGACCAGTAGTTCTTGAAATTAGCGAATGCAAATAAACAAACAAACTTGTCAGCTTCTTAATATTATAGATAAATAAAAATACCTGGGTATTTCTCATCGCCACGGTTCTCATCGTCACCTTCGTGGCGAATTTTATTTCTAACTTATTTCAACTTTTTGTAAACAAAAATTGTAGCGCTTGATGTGAAGATTGTATTCTCAGTAAATCAGTCAAATAGTGAGTCTCGTTTGGGAGCTTTAACGTTTTGAATTTTTTGATGCCACGAAAGTGATTCTGTACTTCACAGCAATATTTTTTTCAAACTTTATTACTGTAAATGACTCTTAAGTGTTTACAAAACATATATTTTGTCTTATTTTCATAGATAAATAGCAATAACATAATATAAATAGGTACCTACTTAAATACAAGATAAAATTTTACCGATTACATCGCCTACTAAGTTACAAGATTCTACGCAATTGGTTTTAAGGGTGACACTGGTGGCATTCTGAAATGCTAAAGAAGCAAAAAACGGATTATCATTACCTCAATAAAAAGAACTCTAACTGATTATCAGTCCCTCAACATTTTTTTTTTATTAAGGCCAGAGGGCCTCGTATTTTTGTTGTACAACTTTTAACTCAAACTTCAGATTAAATTTATCTTACAAACAGATACACAGTCACATATACAGACATACATACAGTCATACAGACAGATAACAAAAATACGAGGCCCTTATTTATTTATTGATGTACTGATCTCTACTTACCACGTATAATTTATTAGTTATTAAAATATTGTAAAAACATAAACACCAGTCACTATATTTTAAAATAAACCAAAGCAAGAAATCACTTTCGTGGCCTAAAATCACCTTCGTGTATAAAACACCACGAAGGTGATGCCACGAAGGTGACGAAAATTTTAGTTTTTTATGAATTATCCTTAAATTTGAATTTAACGGTTCAAGTCGAATACTACACAAATAAGTCTAACATGTTAAGTTTTCAATGGCAAAGTTTCAATTAAATTGTTTAAATTTTAGAGGTAGAAAATATTGTTCAAGCAAGCGACGGTATGTCTATGGATAATCACAAAAAGTTACGTATTTTTTTCGCGGAGCGACGATCGACCTATCTCACCTCCCCAATGGTCGAAGCGCGACTGACGTTAACCGAATAGAACGCTGTGATTGGTTGCTGGTGTTCGGTTTAACGGCAATCTTGTATTATTACTCAAAATTTTAGGTACCTAAAATCGTGTGACCAACGTATTTCGCTTTCTCAATTCAAAATAATTATAAGAAGATATTTTTTTGACTATTGTGTGGAAAGTATATTTAATTACGATGATTTTAGTATATGCTACACACAAATTGAATGAAAATTGTGAATGCAGTAACCAAATGTTTCATTGCAACCGAAGGTGTGACACGATGAGAACGCGAAAAATGACCCCGTTTTTTATCGTTTCATGTGATTTTTTCGTATTATTTTTGCTTCTATTACGATAAAATTTATTTTGTATGTAGCTAAATAGATATTTTATCATCTGATTTCAAAGTTATTGTTCTAAGTTATACCGTTTATGAACTATTATTGTGTGACCATCAAATTTGAGTGTAAATGAGAAGTACCCACCTAAGTGCAAGTCGTTATCACGAGATCGATCAACAATTAAGTGAATTTATTGTTCAGGTGGATAAGATGCAATTTGTAAGACTTAATAATATAATATATTTAATGATGCAATGTCAGGTCTAAGAAAATTTAATCGATTTGCAAGGTAACAACTTTAATTGTTTTTACCACTAATTGGCTCGTGAGTATGGTTTATAAAAAGAGTATGAAAGGAAATTCTCTAGGAAGTGCTTTTATTATCTCCTTTTTATCTGGATTACAAAATAATCGGAATTATCGTCCATTGTCAGATCTCCTCAACCCGTCTGGTTAGTATGTCATATCATCCATTTGAGTCGGTAATATCGAAGATGGTGCTACTGCTTTGGTGACTCAATAATGTTAAATTGATTGAACCATGATTGAACTGAAAGAGTTCACGGTATAAATTAATCATCTGTAATCATTGTAAGAAGAAAACAAAAAGGAAGATAATGGCATAGCGTCTCACAAGTGGTGCATTCTTATTGCAACATAAAAAAAAGAGATTAGTGTTAACGAAAAGTGAAACAACGCCTTCACTGAACTAAATATTATTTAACTTTAAAATAATTTCGCTTCGGTGCGTCAACTGTCATTTTCTGACTAACAATGTAGAGTATCGATTTTTCATCGGCCGATAGTTTAGTCGGGCAGTTGATTAGTATGGGCATGTATGGAAGTGCGCACATTACACCGATTTGATTTTAATATAAATTAAAATCGGGCCCAACTATCGGCCGACTAAAAATCGGTTTTCTGCGCCTAGGCTAAATGTGTCTTCTTTTGTTTTTTTTTCGAAGCCTAATAACAATAACATTATGTTTTAGATCAAGAATGGAGATCGTACCACAACATCCGCTGCTACACTTCACTCAAGAAGATGTTAAAGCAGCTAGAGCAATGTATGACCAAGATGCCGAGAGACTAAACGAGGGCATAGACGCCATAAAAGAATGGATGGAGAAGCAGGCTCATCTTGCTGAGAGCAGTAAATACATAAGTAAGTTACTTTTTGTAGAATTTTCACACGAATACGAAAAAACATGAAAAATAAAGAAAAAACAAACAGAGATCCTTCTCCTTTTTTGACGTTAAAAGTTGCTGAATCTTAAAAAACAAGGATTAAAATCATTTGTAATCATTGTAAAAATATCAGAATTACAACATTGTACGACGTCTATATGTTATATTTTAATATTCATAGATGTTTTATAAAGTAACATATACATTTACAAGTAACATTAACGTGAAGGACATACATAATTCATGTTTTTATAGTGTCACATATCAATAGTGGTTAGTTCTTGTATTTCATGGAATAGTATAATTGGAATATTAGTTACAAAAAATCATTGAGAATTTTATTATTTACACAGTAGTAACTCGCTGGCAAACAAAAGCCAAGGATTTCCACAACGATCAGTCCCCGTCTTCCAGCCCATGGCCGCTACTCGAAAACTTTTCTGCCCCAACGGCCGACATAAAAAAGCAAGATTATTATTAGGCAGTTAACCTATCAAAATATACTTGACACCTATTTTTAACTTTTTCAAACTAATGGAAATTGAAATAGATAGAGCGCGCCAAAGTTTTAAAGAAGAGGCCCGTGACGTCAAGCCGTAGTTGAAAGTAGCACTTTGTGACGTCACGCGGAACTTTAAGGCACAATAACTTCGTAATTGGAAGATTGACAAATAAAAATATACGTGTCAAGTATTTTTGATAATAATTGACGGACTAAAGGATTTTTTTAAACGTTTTCAGCTCGGGACTTTATTGAGAGAATGATACTGTTAGCAAAAGGATCAATAGAAGTGGCCAAGAAGAAAATCGACAGGCTATTTACAGTCAGAGCCATGTTACCTGATATGTGTTTACATAGGAAACTTGGAGAATTCGACAATTTTCTTAAAGGAGTGTGAGTACTGTGATATTTTTATGTTAAAGGCGGGCTGGTAGAGCCTGCCCTGGCTTCGCCCGTGGTACACTATAGCTCTCAAGGATCACGTCGTACATATCACGACCTTCACCAGATCGTCGGTCTCCCTAGTGGAAGGCCTGCCCACACTACGTCTTCCAGTCCGTGGTCGCCACTCGAGGACTTTTCTGCCCCAGCGGCCATCAGCTCTACCACGCTATGTGCCCTGCCCACTACCACTTGATTTTACCGATTCTGCGGGCTATGTCAGACACTTTGGTTCTCCTGCGGATCTCCTCATTTCTGATTCTATCACGCAGGGAAACTCCGTGCATATTAGCACGCTCCATCGCCCTTTGGTTGACCTCGAGCCTGTTTATGAGGTCCATAGTAAAAATGTAACTCACTCATGACTATTTTTTTCAGATCTGTAGTTCATCTGCCAAAACTTAATCCCGAAGAAAGATCTCGAGTAGTAATTACCAAGATTTTGACAGACAACATTGACAATTTGAATCTGATAGATTATTGCAGATACGGAAATATGGTGAGAAGCATTAATATCATTTTATTAAAAATCCGTCCGAGTCTCAAATTATAGATAAGATTCTTTTTATACCGGTATTAGTACGAGTATTTGAAAGGAAAACACACGCATCGCAAAGATTTCTTGGTAATCACAATCGTCCGATATTTTTAACGTATGATTTTGATATTCGATAAATAGTGTTCGATGATTCGATTTTCGATCAAATGGTATTCGATATGGCGGAGGTAACCCCTACCCATTTCAAGCTATCTTTGTAGGGTTTTGTACTTTTCAGTTCATTAATTAATTAAACCTATTATGCACTTTCAGATTGGAGAATACAGAGGGAATCACGACTATAATATAGGAGAGAGATTCATTGTCGATTTGAGTAATGTTTCTATTATAAGTAAAATGAATCCTGTCGTAATAAAAAATTTCGATTCGCTGGGTGTAAGTATCAAACATTTTATGATGGTAAAGAATTGATTGTTAATCAAGTTGTTCAAGGTTGGTTTTAATAGCCAACACAACTTTTCTTTAAGAGCTTGTTCCCACGGCAATCCTGTTTTTCTGGATCCAGTAATGCATGATCCCCTAAACCTGGACTGTTGTATGAACACACGTTGTATAGAAATTCGAAGGGATCGGTTTTTAACAGTGTCCTATAAACGGGATGTTCGTGTGAACGTTAAAGGACGTCGCACTTATCAACCCGGAAAGGGATCGTAACCGTATCAACTCGTAGTGGTCAGTATGAAACTCCATACAGCAAAGCACTTAGGCCCAGAAAAGACGGTGAAACGCAACTGCAACGAAACTGCAACTTTCTGATGATTCTGATGAATGAAACTGAAAGTTTCAAACTGGTCGCGTCATGTGTGGTCTCTCAACGAACGCTATGGCAGAAACTTAGATGCAACTCAAAAGTAACTAGCAGTTGCAGTTTCGTTGCAGTTGCGTTTCACCGGGCCTTATCCGCACCATATCTTAAACGCCTCACCTCGCAATTGACAGCGCGTGCAAGGCGATGACAGCTCGCGAAAGGCAATACGGAGTTGATCCCTTTCCGAGTTGATAAGTCTGCTACTAAAAAGGATCCTGTAAAAACAGTTCCTGTAACAAACGGGATGTCGCCGTGGGAATAAGCTCTAAGTTTAACCGCCTCTGTGGTTTAGTGGTAAGACCACCTGCTTCAGACGCAGAGGTCCCGGGTTCGATTCCCAGTGTTTCCCAGTGATTTTTCTGTTCGGTTTGGTTGATGGTAGGGCTAGTTCTAAGTCCGCCTACCACCATCTTACTTAAGTATGTCGCCATAACAACAATGTTAACAGCATTGTTGTGTTCCGGCAGTTAGAGGTAAGATAGCCAGTTCCTCCGTGGTTGAGGATTCCGTATGAAGCTCGCTTCCATCTTCGGCCTGATCATCACTTACCATCAGGTGAGATACAGGCCATGAGCTTCCTCGTTGTGGATAAAAAAAAGTAGAAATATCTTCTCAAAATAAAAATAAGGTTTAAAGTAAAGACTTTTAATACTTATAATTATTATTACAGGAAATCTACAACTTCAAAGTGAAGGGTGTACACGTGGTTAACGGACCTCAGTATGTTGACACGCTTGTCAATTTGTTCAAGTCAGTTACAAGGGAGAAGGTGTCGAGCAGAATACACGTACATAAGTCCTACGAAGACCTTCATAAATACATTCCTAAGGAGATCCTTCCTGTAGACTTTGGTGGAGATGAACCGCCGCTAGCTACGTTGGCTGGTGAGTAAAACGATTTTATTCAATAGCTGACCAGCCGAATTCCCCTATTCTACCTATCCCACCTGGCCATCCCGCCTGTGTGGGAGGAGTGGGAACTTGACTTTCTGGGAACTTGACATTGTGGTAGTTTGACATTCTGGGAATTTGAAAGAAAGAAAGAAAGATACATTTATTACAATGGACATCACACAAATGGCACATAATAATGGAAGAAGAAAAAAAAACAAGAGTAAACTGAGCAGTGCCACCCTTTCACCAACAAGATGCCCACTGCAACAGGACCCCACTAAGCCGGTGACGAAGGCCACGGCGCTGGTTTTCAGTGTGCCCCATGCCGAGTGAGGGTCACGGACCATTGGTAAAATAAATAAAATAGTAAGCTGCATAAAATTGTCTTCGTGAATTTTCAAATATAAAGGAATGTTTTCTTTGAGTAACATTTTCTATCTACAGTATTATGGGTACTTTCCCTCCAGGTGGCATTACAAAATTCCACCCTGTATATTTAGAGATGTTCATTATACAGACGACTTCATAAAGGTAGCAGGAAGGCGCTGGATGCAGGCCGTTACATCTATCGATCTATCTGGAAATCATTGGAGGAGGCCTATGTTCAGCAGTCGATGCCTTGTGGTTTAAATGATGATTATGATGCCCATTTCCAGTCATGTCGTCTCGTTCTATCACAAAGAATCACCATTTGATGAGAGCGGGAGAAAAAACGGAAATGGTAGCTGGAACTTTTGCCATAAAAAGACCTTGAATTTGGTTTTAATATCCAATGTGTATTTCTAGCTTTAATCTGAAATGGTATAGGTACCTACTTACTATTTAATTTTAATACACTTGCTGATTTACACTGGTATTTTACAGAAAAATGGAAAGAACTTATAAAAACGCCAGAATTTCAAGAATGGAATGAAATGCAAGATAAACTAGTCAGTGACGAGTCAAAAAGGAGTTCTACCAATCACAATGAAGAATATTTGGGAATGCCGGGTTCTTTCAGAAAATTGAACGTAGACTAAAGTGTACTTTATTATGATAACCACAAGACGTCTTTTGTTATGTACTAATTATTAAAATGTATGTATTTATTTTATATTTATTTATTCATTTCATGTAACTTACTCGAAGGAAACTTTGACCAAATATTTTTAAATAGTATTCGGGGTGATTTTGTGTCAATAGTTTTGTAATAAACCATAGTGAAATAAATTAAGAGTTTCTTATCAAATTCAAATTATTTCCTACACACATTCCTAAACACCCTAAAATTTCCTGAAAAAAGCCTACATAACATAGGTTTTTTCAATCCCACGTCCGTGATGAAATCCGACATTTAAAGCTGGGTTACACCATCTTACTTTAACTTTGACAAACGTCAAAAATCTGTCAAACTCCATACAAAAAACACCGGTTATCGTTATAGTTACGGTCAAAGTTAAGTGTGCAACTCAGACTAAAACACCCATAAGATGTACCTAACAATCATCGTGAATAACATCAGTCAAAGATGGCATTAATTTAAGCTGCGCCACTCTTCAATTTGAGACTTTATAAAAACTAAACTTTGCTGACTACATTCAACAGAAACAGCACGATCAATTTAATAAAAATCCAATTTGCGATTCACTTGCAAATCCAGACTGATCAAGCTTTTTTAATTCCCGAACAAATACTAAATATTCGCGCAAATCGAATGAAAGGCTTGCCAATAAACAACCAATCGGTCCGCGAATAAAAAAGTAATGTAAGCGGCGAATGCGTCTGATAGTTCAATATCAGGGCATAGACTAAGACTACTTATAGACGCCGCGACAGCTAAATACAATTTATGAAATAAGTAGAACAAATAAAATTACTTTTGTTTGTTATAAGATCTCCTGAAAAACTAACTTCAAGTATCGCTCTATCACGCTGAATTTATTTTAACCCGTTATTTGTGTAGTTATTGGAGTCACTCACGAAAATTAAAATGTCAATTTCCGGAAAAGTCCCGTTATATAACTAAGTTCTCTGATGTTTCCTTTTACCTTTGAATACACTTAAAGACAAACAGAGAGATTACCATTAATTTCTCGTTCCCTTTTCTGCAGCTCTTGTATTAGGCCAGAAAAAATCCAACCAGTGTATGTTAAACTACAATAGATCCGAAATACAGAATTTTTCTTTGGCTTGCTATTCAATGTAAGTACCCCAGACTTTGTTTTTATGCATAACAAGGCCGGTATTTGACAGGTATTTCGCAATCTGGTGTTAAATGAGATGCAGTCAAGGATATCTGCCTTGTAAGTTCATTCATTCTCGCCCTGAAAAGAATTCTGGGTAGTAAAACCTGGGTAATCTTTTATGCGGGGTCTATAAGGGAAAAGTGGTCTATCACCAATATGTAGGGGCTAGTTGACGCGATTGAATATTATGCGCAAATTGAATCTCGGCCTACAAGGCACCTGTCAACGGATTTCATACAGCCCTACTACATTTTCTGGACGATATTATTTTTATTTTTCCATACTGTTTTATAGCGGAAGAACTCGGTCGATTTACTACGTGTAAACATAGCACTCGCTACAACACTGATAATGCAACTATGTAAAATTTTCATACTTTTTGGACAATGTAAAATGTGTGACAAGGCTATGAATTTTGGGATTTTCTAGAGTGAATAGCATTGTCGTAAACGGAACACCTACACGCTACCACAAGCACATAAGTAATATAAGATGTAACGTATGCATTAGAAGCGTAGTAAATAAATAAATGGAGAAAACTTAAAGATTGAGACTAAGCAAGAAAAAATCAATAAATATAGTGCTTAATATTATGTAAATCTTAATAATTACCAGAACCCATACAAAGGTCTAACTTAACCATACAAATACCCATAAAAATGAGCAATGAGCGAGCATCACTCCACTGCAGTGAGCTAAAATGAAATAATATTATTAACTTTTAAGAAACCCTTGGTAATCTCATGATATCCTCTCAAAATGGATGACTCTTGTTCAGATTATTCCATTATTGGCAGACCTGTCCGGTGAGTTCGAACGAATTTTAATATTGTTTACTTATTGTGGAGAACTTAAATATAAACACTTTTCCTTTGCCGATGGGGACGATCAGCTATGTGGGACTCTCCACCAGGGCCTACCCACTAAAACCACCAATGTCCACCGGAGCCCAATGAAACGGAGTTGTGAATTATTGTCCGAACTTGGACATTCTTCCACAGCTCCGTCTCAGGTTAATTCTTCAGTCTAATTATGCAACCCAATTACCGACAGAGTTAATGTGCCAACAGAGAGAGATGGCGGGAGATCGTGCGGAAAGCAGTAACCGCCTCTACAACCGACGTGAACGCCTCAACGTGACCAGAACCGCTCTGCCAAGAACGTAACTAATAAGAAGAAGAATGTGTATGAAATCCTAAGTTCCCACGAAACCGATTATATGGTTACTAGGCGCTTCAATCTCCTTATCAAGTCGTAATTAGATAACCATTTAGAGCCGTTATCACGCCAGCGAGTTTCTTTTCTTTTTCTCAACAAAAACGAAACAATAGGAGCAATATCACAATTTACAAGATAAAAACTTTTTTCTCGATTCCCTGTGAAGTTCTTTGTTTCTTATAAAACTTTACGACATTATTTATAGCGCTCTAGACAAAGACCCTCGAGATTGTTAATTGTCCGCGTTAACTGAGTGATAATGCAATTAAGTGCGCGTTAATTCAGCTGAATTTGTGATTTGTTTCAATCGATGCTTTATTTCAGATTTTGGATACTATTTATCAGTGACTTGGGTAATTAATATTAGGTAACAAATCATTTGTCTGGAATTGCGGTGGCGTCGATTTTTTAGCATCGAGGTCCAATCTCAACTTGATTATTGGGTGCAATTTGAGTGCTAAGAAAATTAGATCTTTAGTTTTGCAATTTAAATTATAGATCAGGTAAGTATTAATTTGACCTTTTCACTTGTCCGTTGAATGGTCCGTGGCTCACATTCGGCATGGGGCACACTGAAAACCAGCGCCGTGGCCTTCATCACCGTGGGCCATGGCATATACTGAGTGGGGTCCCGTTGCAGTGGACATCCTGTTAGTGAGTAGGTGGCACTGCTCAGTTTACTCTTGTTTTTGTGTTCCATTAATATGTGCCACTGTTATGTCTATAATTTGTAATGTGATGTCCATTGTAATAATTGTATCTTTCTTTCTTTCTTTTCACGCAATTTGTTACGCCTAGGTATGTGTCTCCAACTGCCTGCAACTCGACTTAGATAAGATGGTAGTGGCGGACTTAGCTTTACCACCTACCAAACCGAGTAATTTAATGTTACTTTGGAAATAATGATTTCGCAACATTCTAAAGGTTTTGAATTTTTTTTATGGGACAGCAGGCAAAAGAGTTAACGGATCACCTGAGGACTGAGTGTGAGTTTTTAACAAACGCGCTCTAGTGAGCGCGTCAAAAAGTGGCATGGCATTTAATGTATGACGGATTGTACAGCGCCCCTAGCGGGATACGTTCAAAAACTAAAATTTTCATACATTTTTTAACTCGCACTCAGCCCACTGATGGCAAGTGATTACGGCCGCCTATTTTTTGTAAAAAGAATCATTGTTATAAGTATTTTGACCTCTACTACAGTCAGCGTCAAATGTATGGTGACACCCAAAGTGGCCAAAATGTAGACAACACAACCTTTTTTTTTCGTTTTAGTACAACTGCATTTCAGGCTAAAGCTTTTTTTCTTTTTTTTTCTTTTTATGTAACAAAGACGTGCTGCGAACTTCTTGGCCACTTTGGGTGAAACCAACGCTAGCCGTGACAGCGTATTTACACTTGAAAATTTCGACGGGTTCATCCAGTGTCTAAGTAGCTCAGATGGAAGAGCAGTCGCCCGGCAAGTGAAAGGTCTTGGGTTCGATTCCCACCTTAGGCAGATCGATTTTTCAAGTTATTTATAATTGTCATGAACTATTTGACGCTGACTGTACAAGCTGGAACCATCCATGATGATGAAGTGGCACACATAATGTCGGCAATGCAAGCAATGAACGTTGCAAGCGGGCTGATTGTTGTTTGCTTTGTCAAATCAGACCTCTACTGTGATGTGCGCGCAATCAGCCGGGTTATGACGTTACGTTTTGAGCATTGGAAAATCGATCTCTACTCAAAACTACATGTACACTTACTAATGTCTTCATCATCATCATTTCAGCCTCAGTGCGTCCACTGCCTAAGGCCCGGTTTCCATCAAAGCGTAGTGGAGCAAAGACCAAAGTGTTTTGAATAACCAATCCCACCAAAAAATAAATGTAAAAAAGAGAGCCAAGTTCAATACAAAAATAATGCTTGGCTGTGGGCTTCGACGCAAAACGAATGGAGATCTAAAAAAAACAAAAATAAATTTCTATGCAAAATCCAAATATCTATTTATTGGAACAGTATTAAACTCTTTTTCTTTGCTTTATTGGATACCTATAAGAATTGCTGTTATTTAAAAATGTGAAATCTTAAAGTGGCTTAGATTTGACTTGGCCTTCATGAAATTTGGCTTCTAGGTGTCCTTATGGTAATACACACACATAGTATTTTGTGTTTACGTTAAAGAGGTTTTGAGTTAGAGTAGGGTCAAAAGTGGCATCAGGTGGTTCTTGTAATATTACACTCGGCGCTGGATAGCCAGTTCCTTTGCTTGAACTTGGCTTGACACTCTGCCGCGTGTTTAGATGAGATTTAATTATTTCCACATCTCTTCTCCGCTCCGAACAGAACAGAAATGTTTCTATAGAATTTGACAGCAGCGCCGGCACCGCTGTCAAACTCTATAGAAAAATTCATCCGCCCGACACTTCTCAGCTCTTCTTCGCTCCGCTCCGCTTTGGTGGAAACTGAGCCCTACATGCCTCCTCCAATGATTTCCAGATTGGCCGGTTGGTAGCGGCCTGCATCCTGCTCCTTCCTTCTGGTACTTTTATAAAGTCTATTCCAATAAAAAAAAAAAAACATTGATTCTGGTAGCAAAA